GAAGGAGCATTTATGATGTCGATTTTCATTTTTGGGTAAACTATCCATTTAAATCAAATTGTATAAAAGTTAGTCAGATCCTCACTGATGAACAAATTGTCTTATAAACAACAGATCTGTTCATTTTGTAGACTACAGTATACTGTATGATTCTCTGACTGAAATAATTATTTGCAATATTTTTCATAATATGCAAAGAGAAAAAAATAATAATTTCATTTTTGTCATAGAGAAAAAATAATTCCATTTATGTATCCATCAATCCATCCATCCTCCAAACTGTTTGGAGTGGACTATGCAGGGAAACACAATGGATGGCCAGTCCATCACTGGGCTGAAAAAAATATTTACTTTTTTAATAAAAAAAGCAAAACAGCTTAATGTAAGATATATTTAAGGCTGGAAAATTCTCAATTCAAACTGGTAAGGAAGGCAAAAAGTTAATTTTGGACCCTGCAGACCGGATGGAAAACCCTGTGGTACAATAAAACATCTTGACCGTCTCCATTAGCTTGCACAGTGCTGGTTTCAGCATGTCAACATAAAATACAGATGCGCATGATGTCATAGGCCAGCAGATTAACTGTGCGTTGCAGGATTAGCTCCAACAGCAATGCTCAGCCAACCACTCGATTCGTCAAAGGTCAGAACACCTAATGACTCAGCTAAATGTGTGGCCAACTTCAACTGAACTTCAATCGGATCAAATGGGGTGTGCAATAGAACGCCAACAAAAACAATGAAGCCTGCCACACAGGTGCTAGATGAATCACCTCCAGAAGCAAGGCTACTGCTCTTACCAGAACCCAAGTGCTTTGCTTTGTCATCTCCCTTGTCATTTTAAACCCCTTTTCAGCAAGTGCTTTGGCTCGGGATTAGCATGCATTATTGCTTCCCGTTTTATAGAGTATCACATGGATAATTGTAAGGTCATCCACCAAGCAGGGACCGTTTTACTGAGACCACTGGACCAATTACCTGGTTGGGAAGGAGGAAACACCTGAAGCTGAGGCATGGATTTATACCCAGAAAAGGCCTGTAAATGAGTTCCATATGGCAGATATGTATATATAAAAACACACTATTTGAAGTAAAACTTTCCAGACATTGACGCAAACCACCTATGAAAATAAATGCAGACCAAACTGAGAAGATCAGTCTTTTAGGTGGGATGGAAGTGGTTTGCAACCACAACCCTGTTCTAAAACCTAATTCACACTTGACCAACAGACGCCATCCAGTGTCAATAATCACCAGATTACAGTACGTCACTTCTCAGACACTCTACAACCCAACAAACACTGACCAACGGAAACAGATACAGACAGGGTAACACACAGTTCTGACAAAACCAGACGAACATGTCTGTTGCCGTTGGCTGGTGTCTGTCAATGCAGTGTGAATTAGCTTTAAAGGGATAGTTCACCCAAAAATGAAAATTCTGTCATTAATTACTCCCCCTCATGTCATTCCAAACATTTAAGGCCTTCGTTCATCTTCGTAACACAAATTAAGATATTTTTTATGAATTCAGAGAGCTTTCTGACCCTCCAGTTGTTTACGTTCAGATCAAAGTGTAAACAACATATCTGCATACATACGTTGCATACATTGTTTACGTATGTGATACTCTCCAAAATGGCGCCAGGGTGATGTGGAGGAGACGAATTGTTGAATAAAGTCGTTATTTTTGTTTTCTTTGTGCACAGAAAGTATTCTCGTAGCTCCGTAAAATTACGGTTGAACCACTGATGTCACATGGATTATTTTAACGATGTCCTTACTACTTTTCTGGACCTTGATCGTGTTAGGATCCTTGCTGTCTATGGGAGGGTCAGAAAGCTCCCGGAATTCATCAAAAATATCTTAATTTGTGTTCCGAAGATGAACAAAAGTCTTACAGGTTTGAAAAGACATGAGGGTGAGTAATTAATGACCGAATTTTCATTTTTGGGTGAACAATCCCTTTAAGAAAGCATCCTAACCATCACTGAACCGTGATCGATTTGGAATATTCTATAAAGGCAGCAACACACTTGATTTCAATATTTGTTTGTCAGGTGTGAATTCAGGTAAATTAGGATACTTTTTGCCATTGAGATTAATGGAAAAAAGGTCCCAATTATACTGAATTAACCCTAGCATTTGAAGCAGAAATGCTGCTTTAAAAACTTAGCAAAAACTAGTCAAAGAAGCCTTCGTAATTAAGTTGCTTACAATTTAAAACAGCCTCCACATCTGGAATGCTACGATCATGCCCTACAATACTGCCTCCGTAAGCAGCTCCCTAGGTTTCGTAACAGAGCAATGATATCTGGCCTTTCCTTGAGTTTCACAAAAGCATTTCCACTATGTAATGTAACAAATCAGCATTGCCTTTGCATGACTGAGGTCATTTGAACAATCACTGTTTGTGCCTTTATTGACTTTCCTCCAATACCAGGTAAAAATCACAGTTGGACAATAAGCCAGCACAGCATGCCTAGATATAATCTCATTTAATTAGGCTCTGGGGGCGTCCTCCCGATTTCATTACGAAAGGATAGTGCTTAACCTGCTTTTTGGGGCATGCTCTCTTAAAGGGGGAAACATTTCCAGCAACCTTGAACTGTTTATAATAGCCAATAAATATCTGAAGCGAGAGTCACCGGTACGATAAAAAGGGTTTGATATAATGAAGTGTGGTTTGAGTAAACTACTTTTCAATTGATGCTTTTCCATCTGCCTGCACTGGTGCTGTAAACTCTTTGCTGCGATACACTGGATTAGATGGCAAACAATGATTAAAGGTTCACTAAACAGACTGTGGAAAGAGAGGTTTTATCAAGCATCCTAAGAGAGCATATATGACACAACCACACTGATGACTCCGTAGCGATTGTCCTTATTTTTTTTTATAATATGTGCTAAGTGAATGTGCAGTGCTGAGGATTAGAACACAGTATCATACGATGGAGATATGAATGCAAGCACTCAGCAGGAGAACACAAGCCTCAGAGTAACACTATTCAGATAATCTCTTTGCGGGGCACTGTGACATTTACATTCATCTGATATGATGAATATGCAGCTTTTGAAAATGGCACTTTTTCTCTGTGAACACACCTGGATGAAGAAACACTAAGATCCAGTGCACGTGTGCTAAGAAGTTCTTTCGACTTAACCCTTTGATGCATGAAGTATTCATTAAATAACAAGGGGGAAAATCACAAGGGAGTTAAACATTTGTCCAATGCAATCAATTATATTAAAAGAAGATATTCAAGGGGTACTATAGGTGCTTCAACACTTGCAGCCATGTTGAATTTATGTTGTCATCAATTAAAAAAAACATGACATATAAAGTGGGCGGTCATGTTGAATTATGTTTAAGGGTCAAAGGTAAATTATTTATGATGGTTTAGATGTAACAAAACACCCTGAATGGTTTAAAATGTCTTTTAAAGAACTGTCGACTATAGTGAATGTCATGCAACTAAGGGTCAAGTTACATAAAATATGGATGTTAAAATATATGCTTTTTAAATAACTGATCAAATTATGATACACTATTACTTGTTGTTGTTGTTGTTGTTGTTTTTTATCATAAATCTTGTTATGCGAAAGGCAACAGAGCTGCAAAACTCTGCAGAGACCTTCTTTGTTTACAAATGCTGTTTTGGTTATAAAAGACAACCTTGCAATAACTGCCTAGTTGTACTTTATATTGTGTATGCATTCAGATATGATACTTGAAACCAGAATCTCTTTTTCATCTCGCGTCTACAATTGAGAGCACAAGGGGAAAACAATCTTGACAGATTTGTCTGTGCTACAAGCCGACAATCTTTGCTTTATCTCAATCCGACGGTGAACAGGGATTTGCAGCAAGTGAACAAAACCCCTGCAACTAGTTCAAGACTCATTGATCCCTACATCAAGATTCATTAAATATCTGCCCTTATTGATTTAGATTTTTCTGACAGTGTCACTCACAAATGCAACTCTTCAGCCAAAAGCTTACATTATATAAGGAAGACACTGTGATATTCGAGAAACTTGTAACATTCACAATTAGTGGTTAGAAGTTGCCAGACCTTTATGATATAACAATACACTGGCTATGTTTCAAACATTACAGGATGGCAAATAAATTTTGTTGCTGAAAATAACAAAGATGGTCCAACAGAAGGTCGCATGATGATTTCATTTGAGTTCAGCTCAAAATGGTCTTTTTCAGCAACTACTGACAAATAATAAAATAGACAGAGCACTGACACCCATTCAAACATAAAAACACCATTAGGGTAACACGCGACACTAAAGTAATGCAATAAACTCTTCCTAAATCTTCTAATTCCTAAATAATTCACGCCAATGAGGATAAGTGATAACAAAAATAAGAGCAAACTGACTTAATGCAAGGAATTCTAGAAATATGATACAAATTATAAGAGGTCTCATACTAATAACAATAATTCAATCGTTATTTTACAGTTTAAATATATGCACTGCTAAATGTAGCCTGCATTTCTCAGTAAATAAGCCAATTCATATGTTTTAAGACTTGCAAAGAATACTAAAAATATGTAGCCTATTTAAAAAGTAATTTGTATCGAACAAATTCTTATATTCGTGTTTCATTCCCACAATATATCTTAGCTCTATATCATCCTCCTACATACCATATATTTCCGTCTCAATATTCACAATATGATTATGATGGCTTGAGCCTATTCATACTCTTTTGGTTCTATCCAAGCACACCACTGGTACACTCCACCAGTAGACACTACCTACAGGGAATTGAATTACACCATCGACTACTACAACACGCGAGTGAAACATTCCAACCTCAACCTGACTATTTCTCAATTCACTTCAATGCAACATTTCGGGAAAAATGCTCGCGTCGCATCAAAAACGTGCAGCGACATCAGGCGCGCGGCGAGATGCGCTGACAGATGATAGGATGCTCCGCGAGCGCAAGTTTGATTGTGGAGCTGCTGCGTCTGCCTTACCTTGCTCTGAATCAGCGTCCCTCAGTGTCTGAACATTTGAGAATATATCCCCGAATCCCAGTATGACGAGTAAGGTGAGGATATATTCGGACATCGTTGCTGAGTGAGGGCGAAGGCCACCGCACTTCTTTTACTGAAGTCCGATTCCAGCCCTCCGGTACAGCGCCGTTATTCAGGAATGACAAGTGAAATTTGTCTGCAGAGCGCACCGACCCTCCTTCACTCCTCGCATTCAGAAGGATTTCTAGGCGCGCACACACATGAGCTTGCAGGAGACAGTGTGAGCGGAGAGAGAGAGAAGGAGGGTGTGCGGATAGATGGGGACAATAACGCACTGTGAGCTTGACTTTGATCGGTTTCCAGGCACCTGACGTAGCGCAAGGAAAGCAGGGGTTCGTAACATGGGAAATGCGCTAATTAAGCAAAAAAGAAAAAAAAATTGTTTTTGCGTCAAATGTACTGGTTTGGTGAGGTTGTTCGATAACTTTAATGGGAGTCAACTTTAAAAAACGCAGCGATAATTTTCGCTGCGCAATTTGTCGTCGAGTCATCTAGTGGAAAGCCCATTTGTGTTTTGGCACCCTAGCACGTTAATCTGTTCACTATCTTAAAGACGTTTTAATCAAAGTACAAAGTTTTCTGACATATAAATCCAAAATAACCTGACAAATAATAGCAACGTTTGTTTCGTCGTCCGAAAAGCGTACCTTCGCGATCAAACGCAATTTCCGTTCGCGAGCATCATCTGGGTAAAAATACCCGCTCTAAATTACTGTCAGGTTTGAGCATCCCACTAAAATAATGTGTAAACCCTCTAAAACTAAACCTGGTTTGTTTAGGCCAGATTATTGGTTTTAGGTTTTATTTGAGGTTGTCATGCATCTTCTGTAACTCGCCCCCTGCTGATAAGGAGTGCTAAATGCCGTCATCAAACTACAAAAGTGGCATTTATAGGATTTTGTAGACATGTTAGCCTATGAAATTCTGAATATAGAAACATAAAATGCGGAACAATGATAAAAATAAATTATAACCCTGGTTATTGAATTTATATTCCGTTCACAAAAAGGCAGGACTGACCAGAGAAACCCATAAATTGTTTAAGGTCAGTGAAACTGCATATTAAAGGGCTGCCCTTTAACACCACTGACATATTTACACAAGCTTTTCCATGTAGGCTTATAATAAGCAATAACAGCCCAAGGCAAATTCGATTTCACACTGGATCCCGGTGCTATGTTGATAGTAGATTGCAATATAGATAAAATATAGTCAAAAATTGAGCTAAAATGGTCAGTTCTAAAGATAAACATTCCCTCTAAACAAAAAATAAATATTTAGTTGCTGCCCTTGTCTATATCTGCCAATGGAACATTTTAAATCATACATTACCTTCATATATTTAGGCTATATATTCATAAAATACATATTCACAACAAGGTCAGATAATATGATAGGAGAATATTTGCAGTTTGTAATAAGGGTATAACAGTCACAGATTATTTATTTAAGGGATAACGTACAGGTAATTGGTGAAAATGACTCACCCTCACGTTGTTTCAAACCTGTATGAGTTTCTGTCTTGCGTGAAACATAAAAGAAGATATTTTGAAGAATGTTGGTAATCAAACAGTTGGTGGTAGCCACTGACTTCCATAGTAAGGGGGAAAAAAAATACCATGGAAGTCAATGGCTAGCGCCAACTGTTTGGTCACCAACATTCTTCAAAATATATTTTGTGTGTGTTTGTTAAAGGGGATAAAGAAATTCATACAGGTTTGGAACAACATGAGGGTGAGTAAATGATGACTTTTTTTTTTTTTTTTTGCGTGTACTATCCCTTTAACACAAAATAAAACCTGGCAGGGTGATCAGAATACTGTATTGTGATAATGACCAACTGACTTTACATTACACTACTATTTACCAAATAAATTGATATGAAATAATATAATTTGAGTTTATTTATTTATTTTTGTTATGTAAGAAGAAAGAGACTAGAGTGGTGATCAACCTGCCGGTGTTTAATTAAAACAAAAATGGCCATCTGACTGTATGTTATCTCACTTAACAACTTAATAAACATGAAATATTGAATTGAAATAATTGTATCTTTAGACAGCAGAGAAAAATATATGCATTGCTAGGAAACATGGCTTACTTTGAAGACACCCCAACATGCTGTGGCTTTCTGAATGATAAATCAGTGTTTAGTGTGTCTGTCTGTTTGTGCTCCAGTGGTCATGGCTACATGTGAAGATGCTGCAGACATCTATTGAAGATTGTGTTTTCAGTACACAGAATGCAAGGTCTGCCGTAGACTGCCCACACATTCACAGCCAATGGCTCGCTCCAGGGAAAGCACTTGTGCCTGCGCAGCAGTGACCCCCTCCAAAGCACAAGCAGTACGGAGGCTTTCAGGATGAAACTTCCTTTATGAACAGCACTCATTTTTTTCTTGAGCATAGTCACAGCTGTGTTTGGCAAAAAGCTTTCATATCCTTACATTGAATTCAGTACCTTCTCCGCTTCGAACCTCTATATATTCTGATGCAACCATGTGAAGATGAATAACTGAGATAGCAAGTAAACATGTTGTATGTGTAAAAATTAAGGTGTTGTTGCACCGTTTAAATTTTTGGTTTTTAAAATAAGGCAACAGGCTTTTTTTATTCATTTACTTCAACAAATGTGTTGACTGAACGTAAAATGTTTTACAGTTTTATTTACTGAATCTTATGTTTTCTATGAATCTCATGCACATCATGGAGAACAATGAGCTTGTTGTCAATATGAAGACATTTGAACATTCATGGCACACACACACTAAAAACACTCAAATACATTTAGACAATCAGATTTTTGTAGAAGAAAAACAGCACAAAAACAACTTATGTTACATCAAAAAACTACAGTGTAGATAAAATAAGCAAACTGTTGAACAATGCAACCGTTTGTTTATTTATTTATGGCCCAGTGCATGCTGGGAAGACAAGAAAAGCTAATGGGATTGAACCACAAAACCATTTTTTGTTCTGTTATACCTCTTTGATCTCATCATAATTCCAAACTGACTGCTACACCTGTTGATTCAAAAAAGCTGCGTTTATAAGAATCAAATGCATCATTTAGACGTTTTAACTTTAAACCATCGCTTCTGGTCAAAATAACCCTTCCTCCAGCGAAAATGTCCATTCTCCATTGTCCTTTCACAGCATACTTGTTTATTTGTTGCATAACTCTTATGGACTGTTTTCCCTTGTAAACGGTTGCATATTTCTCTCCTGATTCAAATGAGATGGCTTTTTTACTGGTGAAAGCAATATTATGGATAGAGGACTCTTTTAGCCGGAAGCAATGGTTTGAAGTTAAAGCGTCTTAATGATGGATTTGTGCAGCTTTTCACTTCACAAGAGATTAACTGATTGACTAGAGTTGTGTGGATGACTTTTGGTTTCGATGAACAAACAAACAAACCTACGGGTGAGTAAACCTTCAGCAAATTTTCATTTTGGGTGAACTATTCCTTTAAGCAAACCAAAAAATGTAATAATGGAGTCTATCTTTGCTTATTTTTCAGCATCATTAACTGGATCTAACAATTATTTCTTATAGTGGAGTCTCACATAAGTTGCTGTTGATATCTGTGGAGCATTCAGTTGTGTGCCTTTTGTTTTGTTTTTGGAGCCATAATAAAGTGCTGAGGTCCAGTGTGGAGTAATTCAGCTTCTTCTCAAAATGGTCGGCCCTTTCTTAAAGGTCAGTAATTAAAAGGATTGCAGTTTCTCCAAGTTAAACAAGGCCCAGTGTCAAGCAGCTATATTGTTAAGACTCCAGGGAGAGAAGGTATCAAAGTTTTACCATCAGTAATTAAATAATTGCATGTCAGTGATTCAAACCTCATTAAAAATGTTGCTCTGGCTTCATTATGAAGGTTGCATACTTCTGACACACAAATCTGAAAAATGCACTAATTGGTATGGCATACTACAACTGAACTAAACCGTCAGCTATAACTAGTCATAATGATGGAAGCCTAAATCTGTGTATTGCAACATGAGTGATCAATATTTCTGCTCTGTTGACTAAATTTTAAGAGTATATATTTTTGTTTATTATGTTTATTTTGTACAATTCCACAGTTTGGGGTTAGTAATTATTATTTTTTTTTTTTTTTTAAAGAAACGTAACATTTATTTAACAGGGTTGATCAAACGTGACAGTAAAGACATTTCTAATGTTACAAAAGATTTATATTTTAAATATACATCCTGCTCTGTATTTGTCAAAGAATTCTACAAAACATATCATGGTTTCCATAAACATTAAGCAACACAAGTGTTTTAACATTGATAATAATATTTTTTTTTCTTGAGCAGCAAATCAGTATATTAGAATGATTTCTGAATGATCACTGAAGACTGTGGAATGAATTAGCAGCTTCATCATAGGAATAAATTACATTTTAAAATATATTGAAATGGAAACAGTTATTTTAAATTGTAATAATATTTAACTATATTACTGTTTGACTGTATTTCTGATCAAATAAATGCAGCCTTGGTGAGCAACTCTAAACCACTGAACAGTAGTGAATATTTAGTTATTTTGTCAACAATTAGGAGTGCACTAGCACAGTTAATCTTAAAGCTGACACACACACTTTAATTTAGATTTTCTGGTGTCTATAAGGGTATAATGGACTATTAGTTATAGAGCTCTTGTGTGTCATGATAAAATAAAAATTTCTTGATTGCAATATTGCAAGATTAAATGACGTCATCTGCATTCTCCATGCCATGATGTTCCGACGCCACTGTTTAGCATCAATGAATATTCTGTCATGCTGGGATTTGCATCACCATTCCATGCACTCTCTCAGTCTATCTTCTCACCTTTAACCTTAATTAGCAAGACAGGAACACAGAGAGAATGGTGAATGCAAAAATGCAAAGCCCTTGTACTAATAATTATTCTAGCGACGTTGTGGAGGGTTTTGGCCCTGTCAATAGCTGTGATGCTCACAGCGAACCTCCTGGTCCTGCTGAAGTTCCACAGGCCCACTGGCACATGTGTGAACATGACACCTCAGTGCCCCGCTGACATCACACCCATGTTTAATCAGGACCCTCTGTGAATTTTGGCACACACACACACACACACATTTGCGGGGGCAATGTGCAATAATACAACATACACGCTAATACAGACGGC